GGAAGCGGCTTAAGCAGTAATGGGCGAAGAAGAGGACCTTCACCAACACGCCAGAAGAAAGACTTTGGCAGTACAAAATAGACCCCATATAATAAGGGAAGAATGCAGGGACTGACAGCCTAATTCTGCAATATAAAATTCCCATATGTACGAATGAGCATTCCATATGGCCAAGAGTACCTGTCCCATAGAAATTATTTAATCATCACTGAAGAGTAGGCAATACAAGAATCCCCCTAGGGGTAAGAGCCCAAAAATTAAGACGAGAGCAGCGGGGTTCAGACCCCAAATGCTAAACCAAAAATCGAAGACTTAATCCTTCTTGGTTAAGAAATATAACATAAGCCACCGAACTTAAGAAGTTAACAGTAACTAAAGGAGAAATAACCGACAAATAGATAGTACAAGAAATAAGCCATCAGATTATAGACCGACAAATGTGAAATTAACCGGATAGTCTTAAAACATGAATATAGAGCCTAAGTGTGCCTCTTAGGCGTCGCACCTGGGAAGGCACCGATAAAAAATTGAGTCGTAATAAGGAAGCAAGAGTCAGCAAATTATAAAAAGTGGACATGACGGCCTGGACGACAGGGGAGAAAAGATTCTAAGTTAAGTCTAAGGGGTGGAGGAAAAGGGGACGACTCTCAGGATTAGTAGATAAAGAATAAGAGGGAATCAAGGCACCTCAAACAGCCCTGGGGCCAAGGTCCGGGGCGAGGAGCTACAAATAGGAACAGACAGATGGAACCCAGCTGGGAATGTATAACAATACACCATACAGAATCCCCCCTACCCCCATAACCTTAAGTCCCCCTCCCTATAAAATAATGATGCGCACTTAAAATCAGGGATCGAGACCCCTACACCCGAAGCCTCCATGCTTAACCCCAAAATCTAAATCCTACAGGCTGAATGCGAAACCTTAAGTCATAGGATATAGGATCTAGCTATAGAAAATAAGGTAGGGGAGATAACAAAACTCAGCCAGAGGAAAGCGGGAACCTCAGTCCTCAATATCAGACGGAGGAGTCAGAAGGCGAAGTATCCCTCCTCAAGGCGGAGTAAGAAGGAAGTGACAGATAAAATGCCAAAGCAACAGCTCCCACTGTGAATCAGGAGAACCGAGAATATAAAGGGAATACTAAAGGCACAACTGAAGAAAATAAGATGCAAGTATGCTTCTGGTATGAACAGTAGGCGCTGGACATTGAGAGGACAATTAAAGCATGATACACCCCCCTCAACTCAGCAGCCTATAATAATAGCAGATACAGAATAAGCAATAACAACTATAGGCTACACGTTCAAGGAGAAGAGCTAAATAATCAGACGAGCACAGTACTCATTGAAGAATACCCACTAGATCGTACAGCAGGAGAATCAACCAATTCCAAGATAGAAGTTGCCCAATCCAAGCAGGTAAAGGGCACCATCGGACTAGACCTTAAAGGCTAAATCCTAAACCATAGAAGGAAGAGGATAATAAATATATCCCGGTCATATAACACTGGCCTAACCCCCCCAAAGTACTCCTTAACAGATGAAGTCGGAACAAAACCAAAAGAATATATCAGCTGACGGCAAGGAATAAATGAAGATGCAGTAAAATAGTCACTGGAGAATAAAGATGTCCTAATGGGAATCACCAGTGTGCAGCCTAGGCAATTAACACCCGGATCGCTAGAAGGGGAAAAATAGGGGAAGAAGAAGTGATTGTGGGGGCCAGGTGCGAGAAGGAACGGCATACACGCGAAAACATCAGCGGTAACACTGACAGACAGGGAAAAAGGATACTGAAAATCTCAAAGTGGAAGTAGCAGGAAGATTATGATGGCTGTGACAAGAAGAATCACAACTCCACTCTCATCTCAAATGACTAAGCAGTAAAGCGTATACCCACAAATATGGAGCATAACTCCTGGACCATGCGACCTAAGCCAAGAGTCCTAAGGCCTAAAGAGCAAAGCCTACAATTAACAGAAGAAAACACAAATCCGAGATTTAATCGTTAATCCTGAAGGATGAATCCTCACAACTAAAGGCTAAGATGTACAGACAGAACATTAGATTGCACACGGGTAAATCCCACAAACGGAATGCAAACCCCACCTACTAAACCCTAAGAATGAGAGCTAAGGACTGAGCCCTGAAATTAGATTCCTGCCCCCTAAACCATAGGCACTGGACTATGGAAACTAATCCATGAAGCCCAAATCCTGAACCCTAAAAACCTAGACCCTGAACATAACAACTGAACTCTAAAATACTAAAAGCGAAAAATCAACCCTCATTGGTAGACACTCGTCCCGAAACCCGGAATGTAAACAACCAACCGAGACGTTTATACGTGATCGTCAAGGCCCATAACTAATTCCCGGCAACTTGAATCCAGAAGCACCACCCGCAAAGAACACTGAACGTCGGACACTAAACACTGAACCGTAAGACTTGACCCCTAAACCCTGAACCATAACCGCAGAACCCACCAGCCGAGGTCCTGTCTCCAGGAGCCTAAGAGCTAAAGCCACAGACACAGGGCCCTAAGCCCTAAAACCTAAAGAGTAAATACTAACATCCTGACACCTAATCCCCTGAACACCAGAGACTAAACAGGAAACTAAATCCTGAAGCCTAAACTGTAGATCCTAACACAGTAAACCATGGATCATAAACCCTGAATAGTGATCGCGAAGGATAAATCGTAGAGGCTCAATCCATAAATCTAGAACCCAACAGATAACGATTAAAACTTAAACCTGAAAATCATAGATCCTAATTCCTAAACCGTAAAAACTAAACACAAACCACCTGAACCCTGAACCCAGGAACCATAAATCCTAAAACTTGAAGTCTAGAACCTAACAAATAAACGCTGAACCCCAGATCCCTGAACCGTAGCGATAAGACCCTAAGGGCTGAACCAAACACCGTAAAGACTACACGCTAATCCCAAGATTCTGGCCTTTGAAACCAAGAAACTGAAGCGTAAAGCTTGAACCCTGAATGCTACCCCCTCAAAGCTCAGACATCAGTAATATCAACTAAACGGTAACACCCGTAACTAAACCTTAGGCGCTGGGTAATAAATCCGAAAACTAATCCCATAAGCTCCGAACCCTCGCCCCTGGAAACTGAATCATAATCCTAACAACTAAACCTAAATCACAAAAGCCTCATAGAGAAACCAGAAGTCCTAAAACCTAAGCACTAAATCCTGGAGAATGAGCCATGAACCCTAAGTCTTAAAACCAGATTCTGCCCAAGGGAATCCTAAACCCTAACCCCTGACCACTAAACCGAAACCGTAACGGGTAACAGCCGCAGACGAAAAGTGAATATCTGAGTTTAAACCCTGACCCATAAAACGAGAATCGAGGAACCTTGAACCCAGAAAATTAAACGCAACAACTTGAACCATAAACCCTAGGACCTAAAGGGTAAAACCCGAATCCAACCCCTAGAGCGTGAAGCATGAAGCCTAAACACTAATCCCTGAATAATAGCTAAAACTAACCACTAACCCCAGATCATAAATCCTGACACATGGGGCCTGGGCGATAACCCCCCACAACAGGAACCTAACCCATAAAATATGAAACCGGAACAGTGAAAATTAAGCCTACCAACTCCACGCTAAGCGCAAGCTAATATACGAAAACGCTGAACCGTAAGAAATGAGGGTAAGAAATTACCCCCTACCGCTACGGAGTACACCTGAAGCGCAAGAATGAAAGCCAGATTCTCAAATCGTGAAACCTATAGCATGAATACTAAAGGGACAAGCCTAGGAATAGCGAATGAATCATAAACAATGAACACTAACATCTCACGCGACGAGACTAAAAGATGAATCAAAAGCCCTAATCCCTGAATGATGAATTCTGAACCCTAAATCCAATAACGTAAGCCCGAATCCCCGAATCATAAAGCATCAAGCCTGAACACTGAATCATCCCGCCTAAACGGTAAACGCTGAGCCGAACCCAGTAAACATGAAGTGTAAAGCCATGAGGCCAAACCCTAGAGCCTAGACCTAAACGGTGAACCCTGAATCCTAAACATTAACACGAAACTATACTCCCTGAAGCCGAAACCCTAAACGCAAGAACGTAGATTCCTGGACCCTTACACCCTTAAAACTGAAGCCAGAACCCTAAAACGTAAACACTAAGAGCCCTGAACCTCGAAACGGAACCCCAAAACCTACACGTGACCTGTTAAGAAATAAAGCCTGAACCCTACAGCCTACACATAGACACTAGAGCAAGGACCGTAGAACTTAAATTCCAAGAAGGTACGAACTGAAAAGCTAAAACGTAGATCCTAAGAATACACCCTCAACGATAGACCCTAAACCTAAATCGTACACCACGAAATCCTGAACGGTACACACTGAGGCGCTCAACCCTGAAGCGTAAATCATGAACAGTAACCCCTAGCTCCCGAAACCCGAATCTTGAACCGGTAACCTAAGATCATAGGGCCTTTGATCTGAAGCATAAGACGCTAACCCTAAAATGAAAACCCTGAAACCTAACCCCGGCAGCGAACCCTAAAGACTAGACCCTGAAGGATAACTTGGAATCCTAAGGAATACCCCCTGAACAGTAAACCCTAAATCCAGTACCCTAGGCACTAAACCCAAGGAAACCAACACTGATCCCGGAACCGTAAACCTTAACCCCCAAATCCTAAACGATAAACCCTGGACGTCTAGGATAAGCCCAGTTTCGCTGTGCCTAAACATTCTCATCCTCGTAAATTTCAACGAGCGTGCCCCCTCCCTGGAAACCCCCCCAACGCCTAAATCCCCCAGTTTCTAAGGCCCCGTGCTCCTTTCGCCCATTCGATAAAAGAATCAGGGTGAAATCCCCAAGTCCCCAGTTTGACTTCACCACAGGTTCCAGGCAGAATGGCTCCTCATCACCAGGGTTATGAGGCTTCCATTCGCTCCGTGGAGGAAACTGCCCCTAGAAACCCCCAATTCTGGTGCGAGATTATCCGTGTTTGACACCATAGAGTAGGCCTCTCCTTCGGCGGGCATACATTTCTCTTCCACCCCTATAACTCCCCCTCCCCCTATATATTCTCAATATACCATATATACCTAGAGCCCCCATTACGAGGGAAATAAGACTGCCACTAATGATAGGCCAGAATGACGCCCCAGAGCCTTGATCAACATTTTCCCTGGAGGAGGAGTCCGTTGCCCCGTATGAAGGGGATAACGAGTTGTCCCCGTGCACTGTATGCTTTGCTTCAGAATCCCCCGCCGGCCTCCCCGCTGTGTGGGAGGTGGCAAGGTCTGTACCCCTGTCCGCTTCCCCATTATTAATGCTCCCCTCCTGGGTCGTATCCTGTGAGTCAACCGTCATAAAAACCTTGGTCACTTCCCCATGTGGGGTTTGCTGTCCGCCCACATACTTGCAATTCAACCCCTTTTCTGGAGTACCCCTTGATAGATTTGCTATGGATACCGCTTCAAATAAATCCTGACCACTTATTTCGTATTCTTTCCTTATATCTCGGGGCATGCCCTGAACAGTGAACCACTGATTCATTAATTCTTTCGCTATTAGGTCATTTGTCCAGTTTTTCAATCTAACATATGTTTTTTCACAATAGTTTCCCTGTTTCGCCTTCTCCAGATTCACGTTCTTGGAGGTATCGGTTAATCCAAAGCTAATTAATATTATTGTCACGATATTCATACAGATCGCTAGACCCCTCATTTCCTTATAATTCCTGCTTAGTTCGGTTTCGAATTGTGCGGCTCCCCAATTCAATAGGTCTGCCCTAGGTTGGCAGTTGTTCCCTCCTGAGGATTGGGCCGTATTCTTGTATTCTTCATAGTTACACTTACCTGTAAGATGAGGCGGCGAGTGCTTCCTGTTTATTTCTTTGGTGGTAAACCATGCTTCCAACCCTTGACAGATACCCCTCGTCGATTTATACACGCGCTCTGCATTACTGGCGAATTCCTCGTCATCCTGCTTCGGATAGGTCAATAATCCCTCTATTTTCCGATTTGACTCAGCGGTTATTATATCACATATTCCATTTGACTCCCCGTTCTTAGTATTACACCCTAATTTCCGGCTGCTTGCATCTAGTACACTTGCAATATATCCTGCAAAAATTGATCCGCCCATCCTCTTGTCTTTATTTAATCCTGTGCTCCTAAGAGACTCCCTTGTATTGGTCCTTGCCCTTGGCACTCTATAGCTGCGACTAACAGAGTGTTCCTTCCCTTTTGACTCGTGCTCTCCTTCTTCACTTATACCACAGCCCCTAGGTGTACTACGGCCTTCCTCTTGCTGCCTCTCTATAACCTCCTTCCTGAGGAGTTTCCCTTCCTTCCTTCTCTTATTTTATTCAACCCCGCCTGGCGAACCCTATAGATCTCTCTTAGAATCTCCTCCCCCTCCTCGCTGCGCTTTCGGGGCACGATCTATACTCCCTGGAGGGGAGTCGTGGCTGCCACTTCTGCTTCCCTTTCTTCCTCTCCGCTTTCGCCCCTCGAGCTCTACCTTAGCAGAATTATCTCCACCAAGCCAATTAGACTATTGCTCGTTCGGTAACGATAGTATTTGCCTCAAACCTATATACTATTCGGTATACTTGGCCGCCGATCCCCTGACATTAATCCTACGATACACTGAGCTCACCCTGTTCTTTGGCTCGTCATTATGGGAAACTCCCTATATATTTTCTCTGTAAGGTTTATCCTGGAGGACGAGTGGGGGAGAGTGTGGGAGGTTATCCACCCCTTGCTGCAGGCTATCTATTGGAGCTTCCGTTGCCCTTCCCTCTGCTCCCACTGCTCCTACTTTTGGAATCTGTCCCCTCCTATTTCTCGCCCTTCCACTGGGTTCACAAACCCCGCCTCTCAATAATTTCTGGCAACTCTTCCTCTAGGTAGATTAGTGCCCTTAGACTTCTTTATATTCCTACGTACATACTTTTTCCTTATCAGTCGGGAGTCCTCTCCTGTTCTATCCCTCTTCCCCTTCTACTGCATCTAAGCCCCTAATCCCCTCCTGCAGCGATTGAACTCAGTATATTGGCCTAACCCGGTCTGAAAAAATTCGTTTTATCCCTCCTCAACCTTCCCTGTAATCGGGTTTCTGGGCCTGTTGGAGTTTTTCGTATTTTCATCTAACGTTTTATTCTAGACATATCCTCTCCAGGGAGACTATATGCCTCTATTTTATCTGCGCGCCCCCATTGGTTTCTTAATCAACTCATTTGTCACTTGCATATAGACTTCGGGGGGGGGGGGGAATCCCTGTATTCATCATACTCTGCCTGAGCTTTGAAAATAGAAGCATCATCTTACCCATACACTTATACGCTTCTCCCTCTCTCTTGAGGTAACTATTCCAGTATAAACCCCCTTGCACAGGCGACTTCAGGTTATGCCTCACTTATCTTCTTCTTTAACTGAACCTCTCACTCTGTCCTGGGGTTCTTCTGCTTCTAACCCCTTTCTGGTCTCTACGGTTTCATTAAAGAAGCTCCCCCCTCCCCCACAGCCTCCTCTCCTGCGCTCTGATTTGGATTCTTTCTTAACCCCCTGGGTAAAAGATTAAAGTGTTTCCGTAGTCTCACTTAGCTGTCTGCATGTCTATCTCCTCTATTGCTCAGGGGGAAAGGTGATCTTTTCACTAATCTCCCCCCAACTAAATCTTCTAGACAATGCTTATTCACTTCTTCATACGTCTATCCCGATGTCTGGGGTTTTTTGGTCTGGCGCTCTCAGAGCTTTCTCGTTATTTCCTGCCTCTTGTTGCTACTTGTTTATTGAAATAAATTTGGTCACTTGGCATAGGCAATGTCCTGGTGCTGTAAGGCTGTTTGATTTCCCCTGTATTACTCAGTTGACTTCATATCATTGACCCCTTATGGCCTATCCTCGGGGTCCTGTTTACTATCTCCGATAACGAAGTGGGGGCGCTACTCGTTGTTGGTAGGTTTGCTGTAGAGGATACGGGGGGAGCCTCGGGTTACGAGTGCATCGCTCCGTAACCCTCTGCCTTTTCACTTGATCCTCCTCCCCGTCCCTACTTCTGTCGTTCTGCCTTTCCTCCGGTATGCAGAATTCTGGCAGCCTCTTACTACTTTCCTTTATATTCTCTTGACTGCTCTGGAGCATGTGCTCAGAGGGGCGGTGTTATTTATTTCCATGCTTGTTCTCGTGTTTATTTGGTCCTCCCCAGATTCTAAACTATATATCCTCATTTAGGTTCTTGCGTCTCCTTACATTACCCCCCTAGTCAATTCACATAATTTGATTCATTAACGCGTCCTCCTCCCTTTCAGGCGCTTGGAGGGATACTCTACTGCCTCAGCCTTAACTCCCCTCCTCCTGTTTTTAAGACCCACTATCAGGAATTTTAAGTCTTGTTCTGGTTTATAGTTCATCCCCTCTCAGCTAGGAATATTTTATTTCAATTAGAATCCAGAATTATCCTGCAGTAGCCTCTGCTATTTGGTAATAGTTGCCCCTGAAATGTCTTCAACAGTGACGACTACGCCGGATCTGCTGGGGTGTTAATTATTCTCTCAACCATTTCGTCTTCATAATCTTAAGTTTTCCTTTTACTCTTGTCCTGCCCTGCCCTGGCTCCATCATTATTGAGAATTCTTCCCTATTCCTGATTCTCGGAGAACTTGTGCATTCTTCCCTCTGTTTTGATTTTACTTACACAACTCACTTTAAGAAAAAATCTTGGTTTTCCGCCTTCCTGCCCCCCCTCCTTGTTCCGAGGGAGGAGTTGTTCCCGTCCTTGATACTTCTTCTTTTAGCCTGTTGGGGATCATCCGATCTTGCCCTGCCTGTTATTGCTTCTTTTAGGCCTGCTTATTCTAAGTGCTACCCAGCTTCCTCCGTGTTATATTCTATTCGTCCCCATATTATTGAATATTCCCTGCACGCCCTTCTAATCCCGGGGTTTCCAACTTCTCTCACAGCCTGCTCCAGAGATTCACTTGTCATGAAGTCAAATATTTCTGAAGTATTCCGGTCCTATCCTTTACCATAGTCCAGTTCCTTGAATTCTTGGGTGACTCCTCTTCTACTGCTGCTACCTCCCCTCATTCCTCTCTTGCTTTTTACTCCACGTCGGAAGGAGATTATCACTATGATCTTTTCTCCTTCTCCTTTCTGCTACTGAATCCTTATTCTTCTAGGGTTCTAAAACGTCCTTACCTGACTCTTTTCGTATCCTGAATTCTAGAGGCTTATCTTTTTATCCTCCTGAATTTAACAGGTTGTTGTTCATCGTTGCTCCCCCTGTTATATGAGGTCCTTAAGCAATTCAGCTACTTCTAGGAGACATCGTTGCTTCTGTTTCCTCTTGGCATCTTGCCCGGTTACCTTTTACCCATCCTCCCTTTCTCTTGAGGTACACTATTGGGATTATCACGGTGGATCTCAGGCCCCTTTCCTATTCTTTGAGAGTTGATGTGGCGGCCAGGTGCTGTCACTGCATTACTGCCTGTTAATTCTCTCCCTTTTTTAGTCACTCATCCTCTTCCCTTTATTTGATCCCCTACTCAGACATCTCCGCTTGCTAACCCCGCAGTAGGGTGAATAGTCTCTCCTATATAGAGAAGGTTATGTCCCCTGCTTCCTTTAACTCGTTCTTCCTGCGCCCCTTCTCCCCCTGGACAGTCACCTGTAGGATTAGTCATCTGACAGAGCAAGACTTTTCCCCTCCCAGTTTCCACTATCCCAACTCAGCCGGCTCCTTTGTCTTAACTTAGGTCCCTGCTTAGGAAATAGTCCTGAGGTCCCCTCCTCAATAAACTCCACCCTGTTTAGGAAGGTATACATCCCACTGAGAGAAACACGGATAAAAGGACTGGACTCTGATCTGTTGCTTGGTTGTACTGCTGCCTCGAGGAATTTCTCCTTTTATCTCCTGGCCCGCCTTCCCCTACTTTTCTCAACTTTGGTCATTCACTCGGACATTTTCTAGTCCCACCAATCTAACGCTCCCCTTCTGGTTTATGGCTTCCCTTGGATGAGACTGCGACTCTTAACTTATATCCTATCTTACACTATTGTTCCTTACTTGATCCCGGACCTCATCCTATTCCTGTCTGGGTGTCATTCTGACTCCCCCTGTTGGTTGGTTCTGGCACCATTTTAGTGCTTATAGGTACCTTCTACTAAATCCTCCCCCTTTATTTCCTTTTCCTGGATTTTCCCTTGGCTAGCATGTAATGGAACTCCTCCTATACGTGGCCTGTGATTTAGATGCATTTCTGTCACTTGCCACTTTTAACACGGCGCAGACGTGCCTGTTTCCCTGAATCCCGAGAATCCTCTTCTTATCTCCATCATTCTCCCACTTCGTCCTCCCCACGTGAATCTCTTTAATTATTGCTAAGGCTAGGGGTAGTGATACCTTACCGTGTTGGATCCTTCTACCTCACTAATCATCTTCGGGTTTAGTGGATTTCCTTCAAGTATATTAGAGTGCTATATTTTATTCTTACCTGTTTTGTGTCCCTCTTTTCATTTTAGATCTGTGGGGATTTATTATATAGAGTCCATTCAAATGGCTTGGTGTTAACCCCATTCTCTCTTCTTAGGCCACTGAGAGACTATATATCTCTGCTACACAGGGGGGGCCAGGTGACTCTTGTTCTTTACCTTTCATCTGTTAGCTCATCCCATGGGAGTTTATTCATCTCTACTTTTCCCTAGATATCCCTCCACTTTAGGCCGCTCGTCATCATCAGGTTAGAATTCCTTTAGGCTTCCCTCAGCTAAAGATTCCTCTTCGCCTTCTTGTTCTCCACATATCTCTAATTATAGATCAGGGTCAGCTAAAAGAACCTCTGCTAAGTTGTTAGGATCCCTTTACTTAATCCACTCTATTCTTGAGATCTGTAATTCTTCTGGGCTCCTGGGCTACTTCTAGCTACTTTTTTCTTCTCTGCAGACAGTATCAGCAGGATCTTATACAGTTCCCATCCCCGTTGCCGCATCTGTTGATTTAGATACTTCCTGCGGTAGCTGAGCGCTCTGTACCTCCCTGGTCATCTTTGTCATATTCTTATTGTGGTGCCCTTTATAGATTTGGTGCATATTGGTATTACTTCTAGTATTCTCTGCTGGTTGCTTCGTCCTTGTCCCCTT